TATGCATACAAATTGAAAAAGAATAATGATAAAAACATCAATCTCTAGAATTCACGTTTCTGAACAAAGTGTGGGAACTGTTGCTTTGCGCTTACTGAGGACTCACTAGGGTTCCTGGTTTATAAGTAACCGAGTAGGACTTCTGAACTAGTTGAGGAACCATAGCAAACCCGGGTCTAAAACCTGGAAGACAAGTTACAGCTCTGTTCTGTTCATATGCCTGCTTCTAGAAGCTCCAAACTCAGTCTCCAAGAATAGATGTTTCAGAGCAGTCAAGATTAGATAGACCACATTTATATCATTGGCCTCTGCTGGAATATGGAAGAATCATTCCAAAGATGAGGTCTCTGGGATTTTCGGTCTTGTTTGAAAATATTGAACCATTTTTTCTCATTGACTGTTATGTTATGACATCAGAAAAAAGTATTTCTGGGTTTTTGGAAGCACTTCATAAATCATATTGCTTGGGTCATTTCAAGTCTCCTATGTAGGCCTCAACATCTCCAATATCTGCCAAGGACTAATGATCCTTCTCACTTTAGGCTACTGCAGGACTTGGCATATTAAATTAATTTTGCTTTCTTTAAAAAAGAAATTTTTAAAAAACCATTTGTGTGTGTGTGTGTGTGTGTGTGTGTGTGTGTGTGTGTGTGTGTGTGTGCTCCACAGCCCGCATGTGCGCTTTGGTTTCTAGTTTGGTTCTGTTACGGAGAATGCTGTGGAAGGGAACTGTGATGGTGCAGAGTGGACAGCTGAGAGTTACAGCAGAACTCTACAGTTTGTGCACATGAGTAGGCACTGGGTACACTGGCTGGCCCGGGTGAAGGTCATAGAGTTTCTTAGCGGTCTCAACCTCTTAGGTAACTGTCTTCAAGTGCCATCTGGTCTTTTGTCCTGGCCTACTGCATATCTGATACAATTTTTCATTTAATACTTTTCATTCTGATGGTTACTCTTTTATTTATTTGTTTGTTTGTTTGTTTTTTGAGACAGGGTCTCACTAGGTAGCCTGTGATGGCCTGAAACTCCCTATGTAGACCAGATTGGCTTAGAAATCAGAGATCTTCCTGTCTCTTACTTCGCTGGGATTAAAGGTGTGTGCCACCATACCTGATTTCTTTTATTTACTTTTAATTTTTATTGTATGTGTATGAGTGTTTTGACTGTACATCTCTGTGGACCATGTGTGATCCTGGTGCCCATAAAGGCCAGAAGAGGGAATCAGATCCCCTGGAACTTAAGTTACAGACATGGTTGTGTACCACCATATGGATGGTAAGAATCAGACTCAGGTCCTCCAGAAGAACATTTGGTGCTCCTAATCACTGAATCATTCCTTCAGCCTTGCTCTTTTATTTTGGCAAATTGTTTTAGAGGGAACATCATCTCAATTCTAAGAATATAAAGGTAGTACCCTTTGCTATATGTAAAAGGTACTTGCTTAAATGAAATGTGCAAGGTGCAAGGTTTGGTCTCAGAGCCCCAGTAAGTAAAGAAATAATGTGACCACTGGCTGAGGAACTTGTCTTACATGCATGAGGCCCTAGGTTCAAATCCCCAGTGTTCTCTCTCTCTCTGTAAACCCATAAGAAACCAAGGAATGCCATAAGTTCCAGCTGAACATTGTTGCCCCCACAGCCCTCTCTCTGAAAGCGCTGACTTTCACGTCCTGCTTTCGTCTGCTTTATTTCCTGGCACCAGTAGGAAAAGTGGATCAAGTATGACATGGCTCAGAGCATTTGTGTCCCATATTCTTGAAGGGGCTTTGCTGAGGCCACAACAATTAATCTCTAGCCAGAGCCATCTCAGGTAAACCAAATGAAGAAGGTAACCTCATGGCATCCTTAAAGGGTGAGGGTGGAGTCAGCCCATGCAGCATCTCCTGCACACAGGTCTTGGGATCTTTGAGAGGAAGTGTTTTGGAAAATCCCCCAGTCTAGGAGGAGGGCACAGTGCTCATAAGACAGCGCAGAGGGAATGTTGCTAGTGCATCCTCCATGCTGGGACTGTCTGAAGTACTTGACACATCTCATCTTGTCCCCCTTAACTCAGAGGGGCTGGGGCTGGAGATTTGGCTCGGTCATTAAGGGCACTGTTGCTTTTTTGTTGTTGGTTTTTGTTTTTGTTTTTTTTTTTCTGCTGTTGGTTTGTTTGAGACAGAGTTTCTCTGTGTAGCTTTGGTGCCTGTCCTGGATCTCGCTCTGTAGACCAGGCTGGCCTCAAATGCACAGAGATCCACCTGACTCTGCCTCCCGAGTGCTGGGATTATAGGTGTGTGCCACCACGGCCCTGCCATTTGTTGCTCTTGTAGAGGACTCAGATTTGGCTCTTAGAGCCCACAGGACAGTTTACAATATCTGTAAGTCCAGTCCCAGAGGATCTGATACCTTCTTCTGACTTCTGTGGGCACCAGGCATACACATGGTGCACACACATGCATGCAGGCAAAGCACCCAGACACATAGTTTAACAAAATAAATCTTTGGAAGTAACTCATGGAGGGCAGGTAGTTGATCATCCACAGTTTGTAGAAGAGACATGATAATCTCAGAGAGGTTTAGGAAACTGTCAAAAGGCACACAGCCAGATTTAATAACAGGCAGCTAGGAAAGTAACTGCCACAGTCAGGAATTTTAAGGTCACTGAGTTTCAGAACAACAAAGTGGTAGAAAGGCTGGCATAGTACAGCAGAGAATGCCAGGTCCAGATTCCCTTCGACCTTCAGTACAGGAGACTAAGCTGTGTACTGCTTCAGTAACTGAACGGTCTATGAATACTATCAAGAGGAACCTTGGAGATGCTGGAAGGTGGGAAATCTGTGGAGCAGGTGAAGAGATGCAAGACACAGAGGGTTGGGGTAAAGATGGAGGGCACAGAAGGCTGGGGAAGAGATGGAGGAAGAAGAGGGATGGTGAAGAGATGGAGGATGCAGAGGGATTGGGGTAGAGATGGAGGACACAGAGGGATTGGGTAGAGATGGAGGGCACAGAGGGATTGGGTAGAGATGGAGGGCACAGAGGGCTGGGGAAGAGATGGAGGAAGAGGAGGGATGGGGTAGAGATGGAGGATGCAGAGGGATGGGGTAGAGATGGAGGACACAGAGGGATGGGGTAGAGATGGAGGATGCAGAGGGATGGGGTAGAGATGGAGGATGCAGAGGGATTGGGTAGAGATGGAGGATGCAGAGGGATGAGGTAGAGATGGAGGACGCAGAGGGATGGGGTAGAGATGGAGGACACAGAGGGATTGGGTAGAGATGGAGGATGCAGAGGGCTAGGGTCGAGATGGAGGATGCAGAGGGATTGGGTAGAGATGGAGGATGCAGAAGGATGGAGTAGAGATGGAGGATGCAGAGGGCTGGGAAGAGATGGAGGACACAGAGGGATGGGGAAGAGATGGAGGATGCAGAGGGTTGGGGTAGAGTCACAGATGGTACTGGATATCTTTGATTTATAAATATTAATTACTGAGGTAGAAACCTTCAGTTGACCTTCAATGACCTCCGCCTTCTCCTATTCACATCCTTGAAGAGTCTCCTCTCATATCAAACAGAGGTGACCAGCTGGCTTTGGGGACATAGCTCAGCACTTACCTAATACACATGAGGCCTGAGCTGTTTGAATTCCAGGAGAAAAACAAAGGATGATAATGGAATGGTTCCATGGGACTTCTGAGGCATTCTGCCTTCCACTTATTTCTTGTTGGGTCCCTTGGTCTGGGGAAGCCAGACACCATGCCATGGAGACATTCAAGCATCCTCTGGGGAAGTTCCTGTGGTGAGGAACTGAGGTCTCCTACCAATAGTTATATGAACAAGCTGCCTTGGCATTGGCTCCTCTGAGCTCAGTCAAGCAGCCACATGACTGTAACTCTGGCTGACATTGTGTCTGTTACCTCAAGAGAAGTTCCTGGACCAATACTACACTGTTTTCGTGCAATCGAATTCCTGACCTAAAGGATTGGTGAAATTGTAAATATTGGTTCTTGGGCTTAAAAATTACCCCAAGGTAGTTTAACACATATGCAAAAAGTAACTAAGACAATAGCCAAACAACAGTTTTTCAGTAGGGAGAAAAGGACGTGAGTAATTGGTAGCTGAATTTTGATTTTAAGGTGCATTTCATCCCAGGAAGGAGAAAAAGTCTGCTGATGTTGTGTGCTTTGCCTGAAGGCTGTCCCAGGTTGCGGTCAGCAGTTACTCAGGCATGTGGCTGTGCTTTGTAGGGAGAGGACCCTCACAAGCTACATACAGCCAGCAAAGAATGCTACAACATCCCCATGGACATGGAGCAGGGTGGTAGTTTGAGTAGGAAAGGCCCCCACAAGCTCATACATTTGAATGCTTGGTCACCAGTGAGTGGCACTATTAGGAGGTATGGCCTTGTTGGAGTGGGTGTGGCTTGTTGGAGGAAGTATGTCACTCGGGGGTGGGCTTTGAGATTGCAGAAGCCCAAGCCAGGCCCAGTGTGTCTCTTTCTTCCTGTTGCCTGCTGAACCTGATGTAGAATTCTTGGCTACCTCTCCAGCACCATATCTGCCTACATGTGCCACTGTGCTTCCTACCAAGATGATAACAGACTAAATCTCTGAAACTGTAAGCCAAGCTCGTTAAATGTTTTCCTTTATAAGAGTTTCCATGATCATGGTGTCTCTTCACAGCAAAAGAACATTGATTGAGGCAGGCAGTTAGAAAGTCCTTCTGAAGCTGCATGCCCATCCCTCCTCTCTCCCAGGCACCCTCTGCCGGGTTGGCATCTCTCACTGGCCTTGGAGCTCCTCGGCACTGGCTCTCAATCTCGTCACCATCTCCACTGTCCTAGCCCTGGCCTTGCTCTCCACATACTTGATGCATGACCATGCCTGATGGTGGATGATGGGATTGTTTCCATGTATATTTCTGTTATAAATAACGATACAATTGATATAGCTTCAAAGCTGTTGTCTGTTCTCTTTAGCTAAATGCCTGGCAATGCTTTCTTAACTTCCTAGATCTGGGAGATACCTTCTATGGCAAGAGACCCCAGAATTGTAAAAGGAACAGAAACTGGTAAATAAATTTTTTCATTTTTATTTTATGTGCATTGGTGTTTTGGCTTCCCTATTTCTGATGCCAAACTCTGGATCACATTTTAAGTGAACAAAGATTGGACAGAGGTGTAACCATGCTAGTTCATCGTGTGTGTGTGTGTGTGTGTGTGTGTGTGTGTAGTGTGGACGCTTTTTGAGCTTTTCTCTTTGCACATCTCCAGGTGTCCTCTCTGCATTACCCTCAGCTGCCTTACTGTGTCATCAAAGTGCACCTCTCCTGGGAGAAAGGAGGGAGGGAGAGAGAGAGAAAGAGAGGAAGAGAGGGATGGAAGAAAGGAAGGGGTAAGGAAGGGATGAAGAGGCCTTGGCTTCCACAGGGACCTGTGAGTCTTTCTGGAGAGCAGCGATTGAAGGCCTAGGTGGACAGAGCTCCCTCATCACCCAGAAAGGAATGGCAGGGCCCATCATGGCACGAGTGTTCTGAATCCCAGATACAGGAGGAAGTGTTGGCTCAGGGTTAGGAGAGGTCCCTTTGCCTGCTGGGCTGTCTAGCGAGGGCATTTGCAGGCAGCAGTGAGTAGCATTGGCTGTCTCAGGCGGCTCATGAAGGCTGTACCTTAGACCCTGTAGCTGAATGTTGGCATCTTGAGCACTGAGACGTCTCTCTTCATCCTCTTCTGTTTATGATCCTCCTTCTCCACCCTACAGCATCTACTCAGGCCTTGAGGGCCTCACCCTGGGTGCCACTCTTCAGAATGAGAAACAGCCATAAATAAAACTGCCATGCCCAGTGTAGCCTGTGAGAACGAGAGACTGTAATGTGTACAGCTTGCCTCCCGCCCCTGCAAACACACCCAGACAGGTGTGGTTATGGACAGACACCCTGTCCACGGGGCCACGTCCTCCCAGTGGGACTGCTGCCAATCTGTAACCAGCAATGAAGCCATGGGTATGACTGTCCTGGGGATGAATGCTGTCTAGGGGTTCTCTTCCTGCGTGGGTTGTGTGTCCTGGGGCTACTGCTGTGAGGGAGAGCCAAAAGACACAGACTGGGCCATTTCTCTAAGAGGCCATTCACATTCACAAATTATTTAGTGTGTGTGTGTGTGTGTGTGTGTGTGTGTGTGTGTGTGTGTGTGTGTGTGTACAAATGCAGGTAGAGGTCAGAAGACAATTTGTGGGAGTTGCTCCCCTCCTTCCACCAAATGGTTACCAGGGATTGAACTCGGGTCATCAGGCTCGGCAGCATGTGCCTTCCCATAAGACCGCGTTCGTTTGTGTGTGCGCGGATGTTTGTGCGTGGGTGGAAGTGTATGTTCAGGACAACTTCAGGCGTCCTCCTTAGGTACTGTCTACCTTGTTGTTATCTATTTTTTCTTTGAGGCAGGGTCTCTCATTGGCCTTGAACTTGCCAAATAGGCTAAGCTGGCTGGCCGGCAAGCTGCGGGACCTACCCATCTTTGCGCTGGAATCACAAGCATGTGCCACATACCCATTTTTTTTTTTTTTTTTTTTAAATCTGAGGTCTAGGGATCAAACTTAGGTTCTTAGGCTCACAAACATTTTATTGACTGAGCTGTCTTCCCAGCCAGAGACTATGCTCTTTAAAACCCCCGCTTGTTCCCAGGCAGGGCGGCCCACCTCCTCCTGGTGTAGAGGGCCGGGGGTGTTGTCTCTAGCAGACCTGGAGATGAACTCACCTGTGACCAAAGCCCAGGAGAGAAAGGCCTTCGCAGGGCTGGGAGAGCTGAATCCAGGCAGAGCCCTAATCCAAGCTCAGCACTGTCTCTGGCCTCCTTCCCACGCTTTTGTGCGTTCCTCAGGGGAAATAGGCTCCCTGGAGAGTTGTGAGTGTGTTTTCAAACTCAGTGACAGGGAGGGAAAGAAGGGTAGAAGGGGAGGGAGAGGATGGAAGCCCAAAAGGAGGGGCTGGGCAATGAGTCAACGCAGAGGAAGTGCAGTTCTTGGTGCAGTGACGTGTACAGTCGCTCTAAACTGCAAACTACCAGCGCATGGCTCCTGGGTGCAGACCGAACCGCTGCGGTGAGAAGGAGTTACTGCTGGGACAGGCCAAAGGGACCTCTGCCAGACGGTCCCTAACCTGTGCCTGGGGAACAACAGCATGCCCCACAGAGAGAAGGAAGAGAGGCCCAAGGGCCTGTGGGCCATTCGACTCCCAGAGTGCTGGAACAGGCTATGAATTCACAGTCCGTGTTCAAAGTGATTCTGATAACTTCCAACTCTCCTCCAGGTGCCCTGTCTAGGCCAGCCTCCTCACCACACACAGGGGCCTCTAGTGACCTACAACATGGTGGCCAGGATGAGAGGCTCTTTGGATGGAAAAGCCCCCTGTGATGCTTAGGGAAAGAAATTTATTCCTTTAACACAGCAGTTCTCAACCTGTGGGTCATGGCCCCTTTGGGGGTTGCTTATCAGATATTCACACTTCGATTCATAATAGTAGCGAAATTACAGTCATGAAATAGCAAGGAAATAATGTTATGCTTGGGGGTCACCACGACGTGAAGAGCTGTATTAAAGGGTCACAGCATCAGGAAGGGAGAACTACTGCTCTAATTGGTAATGAAATCAGAACGGCCATACTCACACTGTGAGCTGGGTAGAAAGTGCGTAAGCAATAGTGAAGAAAGCCACAAGAATATGGGATCCAGCTCTCTGTGTCTGTGTAGGAGAAGGTGATGGTAGAAGTGAGAAATGGCAGATAGGAGGAAAGGGACGTGGCGGGGGCGAGAGAAGAAGAGCAGGAGGAGGTGGGGGTAAAGAAGGAGAAAAGACAGACCCGGAGTAAGTGTCAGAGAGAGGGGAAGGCACAGAGGGTGAGGAGAGGATTGGGAGCACCTGGAAAGGATTGGGAGCACAGGAGAGGATTGGGAGACCAGGAGAGGATTGGGAGCACCGGGAGAGGATTGGGAGCATCTGGAGAGGATTGGGAGTACAGGAGAGGATTGGGAGCACAGGAGAGGATTGGGAGCACAGGAGAGGATTGGGAGCACCCAGAGAGGATTGGGAGTACCAGGAAATGGAGAGCAGAAGGCATCCTGTGGCCAGTAGGAGGCACTAAGCACAGACACTGGGCTAGATTGTCTTTTGTGCTGGTTGTCAGGCAAGGAGTCTATCCGCCTGTAGCAGAAGCCTTACTGTCTTCCTGTGGGTCATTTCTCAATATCCACATGTGGCCAAAGTGACATGTAAGTGGGATTGAGTTGTTCTCTTGCTCAGAGCTGGCAGGGGCTGGCCACTGACCCCCAATCTATAACCATGGCTCCTCCATGTGGTTCATGGGCTCAGATATGGGTATCTCTGCCTTGGCACTCTCTGTGTGTCCCAAGCCAGGCGTTGGTCGTCCTGCCTACACTTCCCAAATGCTGGGATTACAGGTGTTCAAAACAAACCTGGTTTATGTGGTACAGGGGATTGAACGCACAGCTCACCCATCCTCAGCTAGCACTCTACCAGCCGACCTACAGCCCCACTTACCAGATGTGGTGCCGTGTTGTGATTGCCTGTGCAGCTGTCTGTCCTTCCAGGGCACTCCCATGCTCCCTGGGGTTAGGAACGTGTCTCGGTCACCATGGCATGCACACATGATCACTTTTGTATGTATATTTGTTGAACTGTGTGAACCACCTTAATTCTTCTGGCAGTGTCCCAGAGAAGGGTCTTCCAGGTTTCTTATTCAAGGATGTCGAACTCTTTCTCTGACCGGAAGGAGCAGAGCACTCCGAATTGTTGGGGTTTCGGCAGGGTGAGTGAAACAGTCAGTCCAGGGGGAGATTCTCCCTGGCTGTATTATTGGATGGGAAAGCAAAGAGCATCCACAGGAGAGGGTTCCTCTGCCCCAGAGTGGCGGCTGCCATGGTCAGTAGACTGGGCAGGAGGGAAGGGCAGGAGCCATGTATGTGTAAGAGGAGCCTGTCTGCAGGGCCTTCAGATGACCCGCTGCCGAGGCTAACCTAGGCATTCCATGAAGCTGGATGTGTTTAACCTTCAGTGTGGCACTTTTCAATGCACTGAGGACAAGGGTGACCCAGCAATTTGTGGGCATTTGCTTCCAGCTCATCCTTGAGCTAGGAGCCCCACACCACATCAATAGCTAAGGAAAGGCTGAGTAGCAGAGGAAACACAGCTTTCCACCCACACGGTAATAAACGAGTGCAGGAGAACATCATGTGCGCACGCGTGTGTGTGTGTGTGTGTGTGTGTGTGTGTGTGTGTGTGTGTGTGTGTGTGTGTATGAGTCTCCATGTCTCCATGCATGCATGCATGTATGTATATGAGTATTTATGAATTATATATTTGTGTACACGTGTGTGCATGGGAATGGGTGTGTGGTGTGTCCATGGAAAATGGAGACCTGGGGATGCTGGTGGAGGAGTATGAGTTTCACTGGCCTGATTGCTTACACAGTTGTAGAATATATACAGAAATAATTGTATCATTTTTCTTTCTTAGAAAAGACAGACTCTGAAAACTGTTCTGTGTGCATCCTTTTCCATGACGGTATCACCTGACAGTCATTTGTTGCTGTCAATCAGCTTAGCAGCGGGGAAGGACGGACCCCCAGCACTGGTAAGTTCGGGAGGCAGGTACGAGGAAGGTGGGAGGCTCCCTGACTTCCTCACACAGCCTGAGAGTTCAAAGCCCAGTGAAGGACATCAGCTGTGACTGAGAAGGTGAGGGAGGGGCTGAGCCTGTGTGCAGTGACCTGCTTCTTTCTTCTTTTCCTCACAGAGTCCATTGCGGGAGGGAACGGGATGCCAGCCTGGACTCCGAGCCGTCTCCTGTACCTGGCCTGGAAATTCACGCTTCTCTCCACAGATGGCACAGCTCCTGTCTCCTGTCTGCTTACAGTATTCTATAAGAAGTTTACGATTGTAGCCGTTACGTGCTTGGCATATTTTATCATGGAATGTGGTGTTATGCGTTATAATATCTACTTTTGTTTGTTTTTCATTTTGTTTGCTTTTCTTTCTTTTTCTTTTTTTTTTTGTTTTTTTGAGACAGGGTTTCTCTGTGTAGTCCTGGCTGTCCTAGAACTCCCTACTCTGTAGACCAGGCTGGTCTCAAACTCAGAGATCTACCTGCTTCTGCCTCCCAAGTGCTGGGATAAAAGGTGTGAGCCACCACGGCTCGACACACCTACATGTTTTTAAATGCCATGCTATTCTTGTTATTTAATAACAGTTTGCCTATGTCATTTGATGTAATTCTCACAACAGCCTTTATGTGACTATTTAGTACCCCCATTTTGCATGGAAGGAATTTGAGGCTTTTCCAAATTAACTGGCTGGGAGTGGGATAAAGGGTCCAGACTTTTGAGTCTGCAGCCCTCAATGCAGCTATCATGTTTATTATGCAGCTATCATGTTTATTTTGTGTGTAATATTATGTAATGTGTTAGAAGAGATGCAGAGGACAATGCTGAGCGAGTCCTAGGCTACTGCATGGCATTCCTGGGGCTGCTCTTCTGGAAGGCTGGGACCCAGGGAGAATCAAGCCCCGGTCAGAGAAGCCTGATCCACCAGAGGCGCTCTGCAATTAGCCAGGCCCTGCTTTTTGATTTAATTCTTCCCCTAATGTGTGTTCATCATGTAGCTCTGGAAAGATTGGTATTCAGGGAAGTAGCATCAAAGACGGTAATTAAAGTGTCTCTGCTGACAGGCGGTGTCTGGGAACAGACCTGTTTGATTCCGCAAAGGAAATCATTGGTGTTCTAACAGGAGGCAGGAAACTTTTGATTAGCGAGTGATAGATAAACAGATCGATGCCTTTTCTGGCAACATTTCAGCTTCATTATTGTCACTGGGAAAGAGACAGGGATGGAGTGCAGAGCAGAGGAGGTCCTGCTGGGTCCTTTGGGGCTTGAAAGCAGGCAGGGGCTGGGGAAGGTCAATGCCAGGCTGGGCAATAGGGTTGTGGCTGGCTGGCTCTAGGTCTTAGGGAAATGAGGCTGTGTCTCCAGCAACATCTCCATGAGACCTCAGACAGGGGCTGATGAGAATCTCCTGGTCGCCAAGCTTCTTGGTGATCAGCTAAGTCTGTGTTCCCAGCCACCACAGCCCCTCTGCATTATTGCTGCTCTCTCAAGGTCAGGGGAAGTTAAGACCAGAGATTATACTGTGTCAGTGGGGCCTTTTTGAAATATGACTCTGTAATCTCTTTCCACACCAGAGGAGAGATGCCAAAATCGCACTTCAATCTCCAGCTCGCAATGGGCTTATTGGGATTTTAGCAGAGCTCTGCCTGGATAAGACTGTTTCTTCTCCCAGGGTGCCCTTTTACAAACTTCGGTTAAGCAAGGCCGCAACTTAGCGAGGGAGGCTTTGCAGGTGTCAGGGGCCATGGAGCCCAGCAGACAGGGCAGGGGATAGGCCACCCAGCACGGTCTATCCTGATGTAAGTGCCCTCTGGGAAGATGAGGTCTAAAGTGGGTGTCCCTGGCCTACATGTGCACATGTGTGTACACACACATCCCAGTTGTGTGGGGAGCAAGCTCTGGATTACCCTGAGATTACACACGGCACAGGAAGATTGCCTGCACCAGGCACTTAGTAGGCACTCAATCAATGGGAAGGTCACTGTGCTCTGACTCTGTCCCTTGGATCTTTTTCATTTTGAGTGTGGTTGGGTGGTATGTGTACGTGTGTGTATGTGTACATGTACATGTACGTGTGTGTGTGTGTATGTGTGTGTGTGTGTGTGTGTGTGTGTGTGTGTGTAGGCCAGAAGTAGATTTGGGTGTCTCCATCTATCCCTCTCCATCCTAATTTTTGAGACACTGTCTATCACTGAACCTAGGGTTTCATGATTCAGCTAGACTAGCTGGCCAGCGAGCCTCCCCTGTCTACCTGTGTCCCCTCCAACTCCAGACCGGGGCTACAGTCACACACTGTTGTACCTGTTTTTCGCATGGGTTCCGGGGATCTGAATTAAGGTCTTCGTGTTTGTTGAGCAAGCACTTAACCCACTCCCCCAACTGCTCCCTTGAGTCTGAAGAGATCTCGCGGAGAATCAAGGCAGCCCGACAGTTCCACTGTGCTCTGTCTTCCCAGAACTGTGAGAGCTGTGAACCCACCACCCCTTTCCTGCTCTAAGCATCCTGGGGGCAGCCACCTGGGATATAGTGATTTCCAAGGAGAAGGAATCTCTGTGGTTTGGCCTCTATATGATGTTGTACCTGCCATCTTATACTGAAAGGAAATAGAGACTGAGTAGAGTCCATCAGTGTGGTGGTGGTGGTGGTGGGTAGCAGGAGGGACAGGCCTGTGCTTCAGTCCACACTCCATGCTGCATTTCCTGTTTTCCCAAGTGGTCCCTTGTGACCTCTCCTAGCTTCCTTCTTGATTTTCTTCCTCTTCACTCTAGGCACCTCTCACCACGTGACAGAAGTGAACCAGCAGGAAGGGAAGGAGTGATTCCTTTTGGCTCGTGGCTTCAGACCTCTCAGCCTGGGTCTGAATTAGGCTTCTTCTATCCATCGCTGTGAAAACACCACGACCAACAACAACTTAGGGCAGAACTCAGCCTGGGTCTGAATTAGTCTTCTTCTACCTATCGCCATGAAAACACCATGACCAATAACAACTTAGGGTGGAAACGGTTGTTTCATCTTAACAACCTCAGGTCACACCCCATCCATGAGGGAGTCAGGACAGGAACTCAGGGTAGGAACTGAAGCAGAAGTCATGGGGACCCACTGCTCTCTGACTTTCTCCCCATGGCTTGCTCAGCTTGCTTTCTTATACAATCCAGGACCCCCTTCCCAGGGTGGTACTGCCCAAAGTGAGCCGGGCCCTCCAACATCAATCATTAATCAAGAGACTGCCCCATAGGCTTGCCTACAGGCCATGTAATGGAGGCGTTTTCTCGACTGAGGCTCCTCTTCCCAAATAACTCTGCCAGGTGTCAAGTTGACAAAATAAATAAACAGATGTATAAACCAGGGCAGCCCGCAATGGCTAGCTCATTGCACAGTGTCTGTGATGAGACAGAGCTAATGGCAGCAGAGAGGAGAGCTCCCCTTCTTGTGTCTGGACACCGAGACAGAGAGAGAAAGGAAGAGCCTGGAGACAAGAAGGGCCCTGCAGGGGCGGGCCTCCAGTAACCCTCTCTCCTTATTAGGTCCTGCCTCCATGTTTCCACCATTTCTCCACAATGCCACCACATGATGAATCCATCCACGCATTAATCCATTGGTTAGGTCTGAGCCCTCATGAGCCAATCTCTGCCCCAAAGTCCCACTCTCAAGCATGATTCTGGGGACTCTGAGCCTTCAGGTGACATTTCCTTCTCCTCTTCCTCCTTGTCATCTTCCTGATTTTCTCCCTCCTCTGTCTCCTGACTTTCCTTGAGGCACAGTGGAGTAATATCTGAATTTGCCAATCCTGGCTCTAGGAGCCATGTGCTCCCGGCAAGGCTGAGCATGGGCGGCCTCATCCACAAGGTACGGATGTCACAAGGCTGGTTTTAGCTCTTAGGCACAAAATGCCCAGCTCACTGCCCAGGCAAGAGTTTCACAAACATGCAGCAGCAGGCCTCCTACCTTGCTCCTCCTGCCTGAGTCAAGACTCAGAGGGACACTTGGTAATTGCTTGGCCGTTTGCAAAAATAAAATCCTGCAAAAATTGTTTGTTTGTTTTTGGTAAAGTTGTCTTTCCTGAGGCAGAGTGTGGATGACCCTTCTCATGGGGGTTACTGTGTGCTGTCCTTCCCCCCGTCTCTAGTGGTCCACGAGTGGTATTTTCACCCAATGACGTTCCCACTCCTGTCTCTGGGTGGGACTGTCAATGAAGTGCTATCCCAGGACCTAAGAGTGGGTCCATCTTGGCCAATATGATTCTCCTACTGTTTGAACCTCTGTCCAGGGGGTGGGCATGTCAGCAGAGATCAGCCAATGAGGCTCCCTCCCTCAAGATGAAAGACAGCTGCAGCTCTCTTCCAATCCGAGGAGTCTTTGCTTCCAAATGGGCCAAACTTCCCTTTTCGCCGTTTCGTGCTTGTGGCTTCTCAGATTCCGAGAGCTGCTGTAGTCGTTCCTCACAGCTTCCTTTGAACCTTTACCAGCCAGGCTTGGTTTCTGAGGCTTGTCTCCAAAAATACTTTGAGAGTCAAGCAGTCTTCCTCAGGTGTTGAACAGACGGGAGAACTCACACAGAACAGCTCTCCCCAGAGCAGAAAGTTCACAGCTCACTATCACCATCATCTCTCTCTCCTCAGCTACCTATTCTCCCCTAGAGGGTTGGACTGACTGACTGCCATGCAGTCATTAGAGTGAAAGAGAGAGTGAAGAAACTGTATGAGCATCATCTGTCTGACCCTGACCCTAGAGCATCTCTTTGGAGAGGCTTACTTAGTGTGTCCCTGGTAAGTAATCCCACCCAATCCACCTCTGCTTGTGTTGATGCTAATTCTGCCTCTGCTTAGCATCTACTCCCAAGACTCACCTGATCCAGTCATGAGAGGGAGGGATCCTCCTGTGGATGCTGCCCCTGATTTCTAATAAGTGAAGGGGGACCACCACAATTAGAGGACTTCTGCGCTTCCCTCTTCCCCTGAAGTCCTAGGAGACAAAAGGAGTATGCTATGGAGGAGGCATTTCCCCAGCTCTGCACGACACATTGCCTCTCCGCTGTGGATTCTTTTTTCCTATGTATGTGAAGGCATCCAGAACCTCCATGGCACCCAGACTGACCGTGGGCAGCCGCTCTAGGACACCACTGTCTCGGTTCTGATTTCCTAAGACCCCTGATTCCTGAGCACGTTAAGACCAAATGTTTCCAGCCAGCCAGTTTTGGCTGGGCACACAACAGTGCCAGTCAAGCCTGCTTGATATATCTGTGTCTGGCTCACCCAGCTCAATGCCATGGTCCTTTTAAGTGGAGGCTTTCTTGGAGGCATATAGATTTCTAGGCCAGGGGGAAGCCAGTATCTCCACACTGGAACTGAACTTCCCCTTTGTGGCTGACGCAGCACATCTGTGCCCATCTGTTGGGAGGATGCTCTGCTGTTTCTGGATTACAGCTTGAGTGGCCCATGAGAGATAGGGAGAAAGCTATGGCTCTTGTCTACAGCACATGGGGCGGGCTGGGCTCCTGTGCTTCTCCGACCCCACTTGAGAATTTATGACCTTCAACCTCTTCCCTCTTTCTTCAAACGGTTTTGCAAGTCAGCAAGCCCAAGTCAAGCTAGCAAGGAAGGTCAGGTTTGGGCTGAGATAACAAAAATACGTTGGAATTCTGGCTTCAGGCATAGCTGCATTTAGAAACGAACACGATGCCATTGGGACTGTGTCTTAGAGCCTCGTCTCAGCTTCCTTGGCTCCATTCTCATGGTATCTGAGTGATCCAGGCTGGTCTCAAACTCACAGAAATCTACCTGCCTCAGCCTCCCAAGTGCTGGGATTAAAGGCGTGCACCATCACTGCCAGGCCAGAGTTAAGATTTTAACTCAGACACCAGCTCTGGAATCCAAGGCTTAGCCCCAAAGTTATGCCTACTAGACAGGCTTATCGCATAGAGTAAGTGAGATCCTGTATGGAAGTGTTATCCTGGCCCCTGCTGTATGGGAAGTGCCCAGCAAACACCTGAAGTCTCCATCTCCCTGCTGACTTCAGGCAGGGCTGGCATCCTGCGCATGCCTGCTAAGCTAGATGGGCTGGGTTTCAGGGTTTCCGTGGCAGGCTGTGCTGAGCTACCCACAGCTCCCAGCTCCCCGGTAGTGCATATCAGGGCTTGCTACTTCAGAGTCTGTTTGCCCAAGTTACCCATCTCCCAGCGACACAGAGGCAGAAGGAGGCTGTGCTGGCTAACAGGAAGGCAGAGTGGCCTGGGCAGCCAAGAGGCACTTGGAGAGGTGTTTGCTTATATGGCTGCGTTGTTTGCCTTGTAGGCATTGAGCATGGCGGCAGCAGGTGGTTGTGGAGAGTTAACATTTGATGGGTGTTGGGGCCGTGGAGTCAGTTTGGGGGGTCAGAGCTGATGGCTGCCGACTGACTTACAGCAGCTTCAACCCTAATGTGGCTTTACTCTTCTGGCAGCTTTGTGAGTGGTAACAAGGAAGCAGGGGGTGAGACTGAAGACCCTGAGCAAAACGAAAGCATGGAGGGCAGGACTGGCCCCTCAGCGTGGATGGGATGGGAGCTCCCCATTCTCTGGGAGTACTGATGAACACCTCTTGTTCAGCCCACGGAGCTGGTCTTTGAGGATGAATGCCTGTTACCCCAGCAGTGCAGAGCCTAGAACAGGAGGATCATGAGTTCAAGGCCAGTCTGGACTGCATAGTGAGATTGTCTCAAAAATTAAAAGCCCCCACTGAAGTTCAAAAGCAACATTCCTTTTGTTTGAGACTATATCTAGTCCCCCCCGGGGGGGGGGGCTCCCATAGAGACCCTTCAAAGACTCTGGCCTCCTTCCCCAAGGTGACCCTGGCCTTGAGTGGACACTCTGTCTCAGCCTCCCTGTGATGGAGGACAGTTATTAATAAAAGTAGGACTCATTGCTGATTCCTTTCCCACCCCATTAATTTTCATTTTCTCCAGAATCCTCTGTGGCAAGCAGTAGGCCAAGGCTGTGGGGACTGGATTCTGTATGCCACACTGAGGTGCCCCAGGCCACTCACTTCTGATTTCGGATTGATGTCAGCTCCAGAACAGGTGTTTCTCTGTTTGGTGCTCTGGCCACATGTCCTCGCCCATGCTCGGCCACTGTTCCTCTTCCCCCATGGAGCCTCAGGCACATGGCCCCAGTCCCTCTGCCAGGAGCAGGTTGTTTAGGAGCTCCATCACACTTTTGGTCCAGAATGCAGGATGCAGGACACAGCACAGCTCTGGACTGCAGCTGGTTTCTCTGCAGGACCTTGGTAGGTATATGTGACTGGCACTGATGATGGCCCCAGGAACAGCCCTGGAGCGATTGAAGGTGGGTTTGCCCCGTAGGAACTCTTGGCTGTGACATTGCATGGGAAGCCCCCGGGAGCAGGCAGTCAATCGCCGCATGTGACTTAGTCCCCACTATTCTAGACGGTGGCAACTGGGTGGTTTAAAAACTGTCTGGGAGGATCTGGTACTCAGCTGGGCTGAGAGCATTGTTCTGTGGCCTCCTGCCTTCGAGTGAGTGAATTCAGGACATCTCAAACTCCCTCACGACAGCTGGTTTTAAATACTGCCCTTGGAAAACAAAGGTGTGGGCCCCTGAGGATGAAACAAGCAAGTTGAAGTGTTTGTGACAGAGGGGTGTTGGTGTTTCTATGCCCAGATGCTCTAGATTCCCCGGCACCTGGCCAGACAAACCCACAATTTGTGTGGCTGTTTTTCCTTAGAGGGGCACCCCGATAGGGACTGAAACCGTCTTTTTCCGTTTCTTTTTCTGGACAGAGAGGCCCTGAACAAGAGTTGGTGCACCCCGTCATACCCCCTGAATGAGAGCCGGGTGCACCCCGTCATACCCCCTGAACGAGAGCCGGGTGCACCCTGTGATACCCCCTGAATGAGAGCCGGGTGCACCCTGTGATACCCCCTGAACGAGAGCCGGGTGCACCCTGTGATACCCCTTAGGCACCTCTCACTTGATCAGCCTGTCTAAAGCTCTTTCTGCTTTCTCGCCTCGGCTAGCTGCTGCCTCTCACAGGTCCATCTGTGGTGGCTCACCTCAGTGTGCCCCCTCCTGCCTGTTTCCCACCTTCTTCTGTCTCTGCTCTGTGTGTTTCCTTCGTGACATGTGTCCTGTTTTTATGTACACATGTGCCTGTCTGTCTCCTTCTCTAGTGGCATGCTCCAGGCACTTGGTTTGATCCCCAGCTCCGTGAAGGAGAAAACAGAAAACAAAAACCAGTTTCTCTGAGGCAGGAAACAGTGCCAGC